TAGAGTCCAAGAACTCTGGTCCTTACAGAGCCTTGCAGAGGCTCTGGTTACCACAGAAGCTCTGTAGTCTTTGAAAGAAGCTCTGTAGTCTTTGAAAGAAGCTCTGGTCTTCGTGACTCTTTAGCACAGAGGCTAGTCTTCTAGATTTTAGACGTTTTGGCGCAGAAACTTCTTCAGATCATCTTCTAGGCCCCGATTGCTTAATAAAACTTTTTCAAGGTTATCATTAGCTTCAGAATAAAGCTAACAATCTCCCCTCAAAGTTTTATGAAGCAAGYATCTTCATGAAGTCTTVTGATCTTTTCTCCTTTTCTTCCTTGGCAGAAGCTTTAGTGTGTTTAGACGGAGGGAAATGACGGCACACCCACTTGCTCTTATTTTGACAGCTCGGGATTGCAACTTCAAACTCCCCTTTGATTGTAGCTCTGTGTTCTTCATTTTCAACCCTTGGCTTATTTCAGACTCAGAGTGAYRTTRCARTACCACTAATTGCACATAATGCAGCTTTAACCTGCTCACAATCCAACRCAGACTATGAAAAACAGAATAGCTACTCCACACAGAAGTAGCAAATTCATCCCTAAAGGGACAGATAACTGTGTGGATTACATGATGGAACAGTGCAATTAGTCTTAAGACAATGAATCTATCAAAGAACCGCAAGTTGAGAAGGAATGAAGTTTTAGAACTCAAACAAAGACAAACACTATTAGAAATTAGATCTGGAGAGAAGATTTTCACATTTTAGCACATTATCTTCAAGAAACATCCGGTCAATAAAATTGACAGAAAAGCTGTTGAAGATTTTAAGGGCGAAACAAGTATGAGAACTGCCATAGACATGAAAGGATTGGGTGTTAACAGACGTGAGAAACAGTAAGCTGATACAGATTCAGAAACCATAAGAAAAAGAAGATGAAACAAAACTCAAGAAATTGGTGTTACTTTTGGCAAATAAAASACCAAATGCCTTCGGCTTAGTATCAAGAACACTTGCTAAACGCCTTAAGCGTAGATCTGACTCTAACAAGGTTCAAAAAGTCGACTGACTCCAAGAAACTCAATAAACCTAAGAAAATGAACAAAGGTTCGATTTCATCCAAAAAAAATACACAAAATCCTTTAAAAAGATTTTGATTAAACGTAAAGAAAGAGGGATGAATCGATGAGATTTTCGGTCCACACAGTCGTCGAACAGCAGGYGTTCAAGACACAGTTTGTTTCAAGAAAATCGAACTACTTCAGAAAGATCGTATCGATTAAGAAATCGATTTTGCTCTGATACCAATTGTTAGACCGGTAACTGCACTAGGGAGCCGCCCACGTGATATTGTCTGCTCTGGGTTGGTCAGCACAACCCCTCACGGCTTTAAAACGCGTCACTGGTAGCAGTAAGACTCCCACTTCCTTATAAAGAAGCCGAATCTCCCTAGCCTCACCGATGTGGGATGCTCCTGCATTGCTACAGGAGCGTTGGGTTTAAGATTCGCGGATTTGACCGGATCTAGGGAACACTTAGGTTTTTCAGACCCAACATTCCCCCCCCCCACATTGGTGTGGCCCTAGCTCTGATACCACTTGTTATAGCCCAGATCTGACAGTAGAACGATTTACACTAGAAGTTTGTAAGAGAAAGTAAACGATAAGATTAAACAGAGAAACAGCGGCTGCTTTTCTTTTATTGAAATAGAAATTACAAACTCTCAAGAAACCCTAATCGACTCTCATATGATTTTGAATCTATCTATTACAAAGAGAATTCTCTT